CCATCTTAGCTGCAGAGGGCAGTGTCACTGGCCCTCATGTGGGATTCAAACCGGGGCCCTGCTGCTCAGAGCTGGTGTCCCAAGCCAGTTCTTAACCAATGTGCCACTCAGCCGGCCCTTGACTATATTCTTTATGCTACACCCTACATCCCCGTGACTACTGTGTAACAATCCATTTGTTCCTAATCTCTTCCCCTTTTTTACACCACTCCCCGTCCTGCTCCTGTCTGGCAACCATCAAAATGTTCTTTGTATCTCTGAGTTTGTTTCTGTTTTGTTTGTGGATTTTATTCTTTAGAGTCCACATATAGGCGGAATCACATTGCATCTGTCTTACTCTGTCTGATATACTCCACTCAGCACCATACCCTCCAGGTTCTTCCATGCTTTCACAGATGGCAAGAACCCATTCCCATCCATGGTCGAGCAATATCCTATGTATATATATACCACTTGCTCTTTATTCATCCATCACTAGACACCCAGGCTGCCTCCACACCTTGGCCATTGTAAATAATGCTGCAATGAACAATATGGATGCACATGTCTCCTTGAAGTAGTGTTTTCGGTTTCTTTGGATAAAACCCAGAAGTGGGATTATTGGGACCGTCTTTGTTTCTTATTATAGCCTTTGTTTTAAAGTCTGTTTTGTCTGGTATAAGTATTACTATGCCAGCTTTTTGTTTTGTTTTGATTTTTATGAAATATCTTATTCCATCTCTTTACTTTCAGTCTGTGTGTATCTTCCAGTCTGAAGTGAGTCTCATGTAGTCAGCATATATAAGGGTCTTGTTTTCTTATCCATTCAGCCACCCTATCTTTTTTTTTTTAATTTTATTTGGGAATTGGGAAAGGGGAACAGTGTTGGGGAATTGGGGAAGGGGACCAGCCAAGTTATTGTTTTTCAATCTTCGTTGTGGAGGGTGCCAGTCGCCATCTGGCTTCCCGTCAGCAGCTAGTGGTCTCTAAGCTCAAGGTGCTGTGTTCAATCTTAGTTGTGGGTGGGCGTAGCCACCATCCCATGTGGGAGTCGAACCAGCAGCCCTGTTGTTAAGAGCGCACGCTCTATCCACCAAGCCACCCGGGCGGTAGCTAAGCTCAGGGTGCCAAGTTCAGTCTTAGTTGCAGGTGGGCGTGTACCACCATCGAACAGGCAATCTTGTTGTTACACCAGCTGAGCCATCCTGCCACCTGTTGGCAGCTCAATGGCAGCTCAGCTCGGTCATGGCATCACTGGCCCATGTGGAAATCGAACTGGTGGCCCCGTTGCTCAGAGCCTGCACTCTTTTTTTTTTTTTTAATTGGGGAATTGGGGGGAGGGGAACAGCGTTGGGGAATCGGGGAAGGGGAACAGACAGGTAGACAATTGCTATTTCTGTTCTTCAGTCTAGCTGTGGAGGACTTCGCTTCACTGGCCCATGTTGGTATGATCATTGTGCTCTTCCCGAATGAGGCAAATGGGTCGGCCGCTCATAGCTGCTCCCGGCAGCTCATACTGGCTGCCAGCCGCTCACGCTGGCTGCCAGCCACTCATGTAGCTCATGGCAGCCCGCTGCAGCCTACCCCATTGCCGGTGACTCACAGCAGCCCAGCTCCAGGTTGAGCTGTTGTTCATTGACTTAGCTGTAGAGGGTGAGTGTCACTAGCCCTCAATGTGGGATCCGAACCGCAGCCCTGCTGCTCAGAGCTGGCGCTGCCAAGCGAGCTCTTAACCAGCTGAGCCACTCAGCAGGCCGTTTATTGAGTATTCTTGCCAACAAAAGTAACCTGAATCTCATCAAGCTTATAGATCTGACTACTAATTTATAGGAAATAACTGTTAAAGAATTTATGGAAATTCAGTCATTTATGGAGATTCTAGATTGTGGGAGATTTCAGGACAAACTGCAAGGATTCTTCAACAAATAAACCACAAGAAGAGGGGAGGCTTATAGGCTAAAAGAGACTTAAGAGACATATGAAAAAAAATTTTTTTTAATGAACAAATTTTTAAGGTACAGTATTTGAGTGAATGTGGTTTAAAAGTCCTTGTCTTTTTACAGATAATATATTGAAGTACTTATAAGTAAAGCAATACGATATCTGGTTATTTGCTTTAAGGTAATCCAGGGAAGGATGGTCGTTGGGATACACATGAAATATGATTAACCATGACTTGATAATTGAAACTAAACATGAAGGTTATATGGACATTCATTGTATTAGGTTGAATCACAAGACTTGTTTTGCATGTTAAGACCAGTTGAGTTTTAGTAATGTCATATAGTTCATCCTAATACTGTTCTCTCTACTTTTAAATGTTTGAAATTTTCTATAATAAACAAGCACAAAATAAAAAAAAAAAAACAATCGAGGGCCGGCCGAGTGGCTCAGTTGGTTAAGAGCTCGCTCAAGAGTGAGAGCTCTGAGCAACAGCAGTTCGATGCCCACCCGAGCTGAGCTGACGCTGAGCTGCCAACAGGTGGCAGGATGGCTCAGCTAAAAAAAATCTAAAAGATAAAAAAATAAATAAATAAAAAATAACAATAAAAATATTTAAAAGACAATTGTAAATTTTAACACTGACACATTGATGTTGTTATGGTTATATTTTTAAAGCGGCCCCGTTAATTTTTTAAAAAGTTATGTTTTAATATACTGAAGTATATATAGGTTAAAATGATAGAATATCTGGGGTTTGCTTCAGAACATTCCAGTGGAGTGGTGGGAGTGAGTGCGAGTATTGAAAAAACAAGATTAACCGTGAATTGGTAATTGCAGCTGGGTGATGAGTCTGTGGTGTTTCTTATGCTATTACCTTTACGTTTGAATAAGTTTGAAATTTTCCATTATCAAAAATTTATAAAAATTAAGCCAGGATTTAATCCAGGTGTGTGTGTCTACAGAATGTTAACTCTCAACCATTATGCCATTATTTCCTGTAATGTGGTTATATCACCATGTAACGTGATTTCTGTGGCATGTGGAAAGTATTTTAATATTTATATATTCATTTTAATATTACTTTCTCTTTGTGGCAAGAAAACTAGAGCAAGTTTCCCACTTAATGGAAGTGGTATAAAGCAAACTTTTAAAATAGGTTTAGGCCTTTTGAGCTTCCTTTGCTCGGCCTGCTCCAAGCTCTTTGGAGTGTACTTTCTCTTCTAATAATGGCCTTTGAGCCATTCTCTACTGTTCGGGCCCAATTCTGCTTCTTTGAAATGTATTTTTTCTTCTAATAAACTGTCCTTTTCTGCAACTTTAAAAAAATAATAGGTTTAAGTGAAAAATTAATTGGCTTAAAGAAAAATATTCCATAAATAATAGTACCGGTAGTACTCACATATGAAATAAATTGTATGGTATGAGGGGCAGCTGAGTGGCTCAGTTGGTTAGAGTGCGTGCTCTGAACAACAAAGTTGCTGGTTTGATTCCCACATGGGCCAGTGAGCTGCGCCCTCTGCAACTAGATTGAAGGACAACGACTTGACTTGGAGCTGATGGGTCCCGGAAAAACACAGTTACCCAATTAAAAAAAAAAATTTTTTTTTTAATTGTATGGTATGAGGAGAATGAAGTTGGAACATTTACTATGCTATACGGACTCCATTGGTACGAATGGTGAAATGAAGAAGCATTTTATAAGCTTTGCATTTGCCCCTAATATCCACATTTGAATGCCAGTCAGACTCTTTTGAAATAAGGTAACTTTTGTATAAAACCCTATGACAATAGTTATTTCCACAGGCCTTAACCCATATAAGAAATTAAAGATAACATTTTTTATTGTTGTTACAGAATGTCATATCCAGGCTATCCCCCCACCGGCTACCCACCTTTCCCTGGATATCCTGTGAGTATTGCAACTTATAATACTAAAAGAGCTTATATCCTTGGAACAGGTGATACATAGGACTAGCCCATGACAGATCTTGTAGATATGCTAGAGCAGGGGTTATAAACTGAATAGAATGAGTGAAGGTGGGTGTTGTGGAAGACCTAGGGGGCACTTGCTTCACCTATGGAAAGCTAGTAGCTACTCAGCTTTAGCCTGATGTGGCCACACAGGGAGGCAGACCCAAAGCTGCTAGATACTCCATTTCTTTACATAAAGGGAGAAAACTGGATTTTATATTAAATTGCCCTGATTTTTAAAATTGGGGAATTGATTTTTTTAAATGTTAAATGCTATATGAGTCAATAAAAATGTAAGCTGTGTTCATCCCATGAGTTACTGGTTTTTAACCTTTGCGTTAGAACGTTTAAAATAATTAAGAAGGGCTTGACTCAGAGATAACAAATTGCAATGGATTAGAGGGCCCTGAATTTGTAGTTCTGAGACTTGTAATATTTGGAGCACATTTTACAAATGTGCCACCAAGTTCTCCCTTGTTGATGCCTGTACTACTCTGAGGGCTAAAGTCATAGCTGAGGCATAGGTGAGAATCATGCATTTCAATTTTATACTCATAAGTATATGAAGGGCTTCTTTCTAACTGAGAATAGAAAGAGGGGCCTACAGATTAATGATAATGTGTGTATCCTTATGTAAAGTGAATATAGCTCTTCTGAATTTACCATAGGAGAGATGAGAATTATGAATATTTTCCAGGTACCTATGTTCTAAACTAGACTCTGGCAACCATTTCAGTCAGTATAGGCTAATTGCTGAAACAGATAACCCAAATATCCCAATGACTGAACACAAAAACTCATTTCTTTAGTCTCCTGGGAGTCAGTGGGGGTGGGGTTGGCGTGTAGTCTTTCAGGTTCTCAGGTCCCTTCCAGGTATTAGCTATACCATCCTCTAGTGCCTTGGAGCCCTCCCCTGGGTCCTCTGCTTACAGCTGGCAGATGAAGGGGAAAAGAGAGGAAGAGAGAGCGTAGAAGACTAGGCAGGAGGTTTTCAGGGGCCAGGTTGGAAGTGGTGTATATTATTCTGTCCACATTTTTTTCACCAGTATTCAGTCATAGGGTCCCACATAACTGCAAGGGGCGCTAGGAAATGTAGTCTAGCTTTGTGGCCGGGGAGAAAGTTTAGTGGACACTTAACAATCTCTGCTACACTTAGACATTGTCTAGTCTGAACCGATGTCCAAAATTTCACACCCCATGTGTGACCCAGATCACCTTTTTTTCTATTATGCAACAGGTCCAGGTTTTGCAAGAGAGCCATGAATTCCTTACTTTAGGTTGGAGAAGTAGATCTTTCTCATATTTTAGGTGCTAGGAAATTAAAGGAATTAATGAGCATTTTTAATTCTTCCTGAAGGTTTGGAAAGAGTGTGGGTCTTACTCCCATATAGAGAAACAGACCCATCTTGCCTGACACAGGTAGAATTAAATGTAACTGAGTTCTGAAAAACAAGTGTCCTCACAAATGTAGTATACTGACAAACTAGTATAAGATATACCAGGACTCCTAATGGGGCTTTCAATATGTAAAAGAACAAGCTGGACCTTAACATTGATCTGTTTTCCTTTTTTTAGATGGGTCATATTTTTCTATGTTCGCATTCATTTGAAATTTTTTCTGGTTTTTCAGCCTGCGGGTCAGGAGTCCTCTTTTCCTCCTCCGGGTCAGTATCCTTATCCTACTGGCTTCCCTCCAATGGGAGGAGGTGCCTACCCAGCAGCACCAAGCGGTGGTTACCCAGGAGCTGGAGGCTACCCTGCCCCTGGCGGTTATCCAGCCCCAGGAGGCTATCCTGGTGCCCCACAGCCAGGGGCAGCTCCATCCTACCCTGGAGGTGAGTTATGGGTCATGGAATTCCTGATGATTTGGGGTTGCTACAGCACTTTTTCCTTCTCTACTTTATCCTCTTTATTCCTGATTGTTTTGTATGAGGTCAGCGTAACTCTTAGCCTAATTTCTTTTTTTTTTTTTAGCTGAGCCATCCTGCCACCTGTTGGCAGCTCAGCTCGGGCCGGGCATCGAACTGCTGTTGCTCAGAGCTCATACTCTTGAGCGAGCTCTTAACCAACTGAGCCACTCGGCCGGCCCCTTAGCCTACTTTCTACCTTAGACGAGGACATAGCTGGTGAGATAGAGGGATAAAGGTTGTCAGGGGCCCAAAAACTGGGAACAATCTCAAAAATTCTGTTGTGAAAGGAATTGGAAGAAATATGATAATGAAGGACCAATATATAACAATTTGATTATTTGTTATCTTAAGAAGTGATTAAGGCATTTCAATTAGCATGATTATGATAGGATAGCTTTGTCTAAAGGTTAAAAAGAAAACTTAGCACTTGTGTACTGTAAGTTAGTAAGGCAGATAATTGAAGTAAAATTTTTAAATTTGTTTCAATGGGGAAGGAGTTGGTAAGAATTTGAATTTAGATAAATGAATTTAGTAAAGTAGCAGGATACAATATTAATATACAGAAATCAGTTGCATTTTTTTTTTAAGATTTTTATTGGGGAATTGGGGGGATGGGAACAGACAAGTTGCTGTCATTTTTGTTCTTCAGTCTAGTTGTGGAGGACGCCGCTTCACTGGCCCAAGTTGGCACCATCATTGCACTCTTCCCGGGTGAGGCAGATCAGTCGCCGGCTTCTGGACAGCCGCTCACTGCGGCTGCTGGCCACTCACGCTGGCTGCTGGCTACACACGGTAGCCCATGGCAACCCACTGCCACAGGGGCTGCAGCCTACGCTGTCGCCGGCGACTCATGGCAGCCCAGCTCCAGGTCGAGCTGTTGTTCAGCATCTTAGCTGTAGAGGGCAGTGTCACTGGCCCTCATATGTGGGATCCAAACCGGGGCCCTCTGGCGCCCCAAGCCAGTTCTTACCATCGTGCCACTCGGCCGGCCCCAGTTGCATTTTTATACACTAATAACGAACTATCAGAAAGAGAAATTAAGAAAAAACCCCCATTACAATTGCATCAAAAAAAAAATACTTAGGAATAAATTTAACCAAAGAAATAAAAGACCTGTACTCAGAAAATTATGACATTGAAAAGAGAAATTAAAGAAGATACAAATAAATGGAAACATACCATGCTCATGGATAGGAAGAATTAATATAGTTAAAAATGTCCATACTGTCCAAAGCAATATATAGATTCAACACAATGCCTATCAAAATACCAATGGCATTTTTCACAGAACTTGAACAAATAATCCTGTAATTTATATGGAACCATGAAAGACCCCGAATAGCCATGGCAATTCTGAGAAGAACAAAGCTGGAGGTATCACATTACCTGATACCAAATTATAATACAAGTCTATAGTAATCAAAACACCATGGTTTTGACATAAAAAGAGGCACATAGATCAATGGAACAGAATAGAGAGCCCCAAAACAAATCCATGCTTATATGGTCATTTAATGACAAAGGAAGCAAGAATTTACATTGGGGTAAAGACAGTCTATTTAATAAACAATGCTAGGAAAACTGGACAATACATGCAAAAAATTAAACTGGACCACCTTCTTAACGCCATATACAATAGTAAACTCAATGGATTAAAGATTTAAATGTAAGACCTGAAACCATAAAACTCCTAGAAGAAAACATAGGCAGTAGACTCTCCGACATAGCTCTTAGTAAAATTTTTTCTGATATATCTCCTCAGGAAAGGGAAACAAAAGAAAAAAATAAACAAATGGGACTAGATGAAACTGAAAGGTTTTTACATAGCAAAGGAAACCATCAACAAAACGAAAAGACATCCTACTAAATGGAAGAAGATATTCGCCAATGATACATCCCATAAGGGGTTAATATCCAAATTTATAAAGAACTCATATAACTCAAAACAAAAAAACAAATAATCCAATACAAAAATGGGCAGAGGACCTGAACAGACATTTCTCCAAAGGACATACACATGGTCAATAGACATGAAAAGATGTTCAATGTAACTAGTCATCAGAGAAATGCAAATAAAAACCACAATAAGATACCACCTCCTGTCAGAATGACGATCGTTAATAAATCAACAAACAAATGTTGGCGAGGATGTGGAGAAAAGAGAACCCTCCTGCACTGTTGGTGGGATTGCAAATTGGTGCAGCCACTATTGTAAACACTATGGAGCCTCCTCAGAAAATTAAAAAGAACTACCTCATGAATGAGCAGTTCCACTACTGGGTATTTATCTAAAGAAATTCAAAACACTAATTCAAAAAATATATATGCACTTCTATGTTTACCACAGTGCTATTCACAATAGCCAAGATACGGAAAGAACCGAAATGCCCATCAATAGATAACTGAATAAAAAAATTGTGGTACATTTATACAATGTAGAAATACTCTGCCATAAAAAAGAATGAAATCTTACCATTTGCAACAAGATGGATGGACCTAGAGGACATTTTGCTAAGTGAAATAAGTCAGACTGAGAAAGACAAATACCATATGATCTCACTTACATGTGGAATCTAAAGAACAGAACAAACGAGCAAACAAAACAGAAATAGGCTTATAGATACAGAGAACAAACTGATGGTTGCTAGATGGGAGGGGATTGGGAAGATGGGGGAGAAGGTGAAGGGATTAGGAAGTACAAATTGGTAGTCTCAAAATAGTCACAGGGATGTGAAATACAGTATGGGGAATATAATCAATAATGTTGTAAAGACTCTGTATGGTGTCAGATGGGTGCTGGACTTACCAGGGGGATCACTTCATGGATTATATAAATGCCTAATCACTGCTGCACACCTAAAACTAATACTAAAAAAAAAAATAAAAGAAGTTGAATTAATAGTATACATAGTAGAAAGCATTAATAGTATATTTTTTTTCACTGTTAAAAGTAGATATTTTTCTAAAGTTTTCTCTTCAATCGCGAGAACTGTCACTGGAGTTAATTTATTCTTTTCTCTAGTTCCTCCAGGCCAAGGGTTTGGAGCCCCACCAGGTGGAGCAGGCTTTTCTGGCTATCCACAGCCACCCTCACAGTCTTATGGAGGTGGCCCAGCACAGGTCCCACTACCTGGTATGTACCAGCTGTCTAGAGAAAACAATAGCATTATATTTTGAATTTTTCAGTTGCCACTGAGAGAACTTAGTTTATGTTTGGGATAGTTGTTAGTAAATATTTATGCTAAGTACTCCTATACATAGTTTTAAATATGTGATTTCATGAAATGTATTAATTTGATGAAAAAGTTTAATCAGTAAGATCAAAATAAGGACCCACTTTTTGATTAAAAAAATAATGTCCCAAAGTCAGAAAAGCAAAACCTTCAGGAACTTCTCAGCTCGCTGTTATATCACAAATGAAACAACCCCCAGAGCTATGTCCTGACATCCTGATTTCCAGATAGAATCAGAATTTAATCTGGTTCAAGAGTTAAAAAAAAAAAAACTATCATAAAGTATAGCATAAGGATTATAGTCAATAATATTGTAATAACTATGTATGATGTCAGATGGGTACTAGATTGATCACTTTGTAAGTTATATAAATGTCTAATCACTATGTTGTACACCTGAAACTAATATAATATTGTATATCAATTGTAATTCAAAAATAAAACAATTATTAAAAAGTATTAGTTAGGATATTAAGTGGGACGTGGAACATTTTAACAGGTTCTTATAACCAAAATTGGTTTTAGATTCAGTAAATTATAATATTAAAAAAGTTACCCTAGTGAATAACATAGTGTGAATGTTTTTAATATGTTTCCATGTTCATAATAATGCTGTTTTCAAAAATTAAATTATGTAACACCTGTTTGCTGTATATTTTTTAACATGTAGGTGGCTTTCCTGGAGGACAGATGCCTTCTCAGTATCCTGGAGGACAAGCTCCTTACTCTAGTCAGGTATTTTTGCTCCCATCTTTTAAATTTAGTCTGGGTAACTGAATACTGCCAAAGAAGGGCACCACTCATTTGCCAACATTAGAGCTTTCTGTGAAGCAGAGGAGATGGTCTATGACATCTCTTAAGGCTTTAATCTTTGCTTCTGATAGACTCCATGCTCTCTCTGGTCCATCTGCTTTAAGTAGAGTCCTGATGACTTTGATAAGACAAGCATAGGTCCCTTCTCACAGGTGATGATACTCATAACTTTTTCATAGAGATTCACTTGGGCTCTTAGCATGGGTTTTAGTTCTTTTTCCTCTTCCCTCGCTGGCAGTTACAACCATGAACTTGGGTGAGTGGTATTTTTGGTGGTGTTTTATGAAGTGTTTTGTTTTCCATTTTTACCTTTGTAACTTTCCACTCTTCTTTCAGATCAATACAGAATCTTTTCCTTCCTATCCTGTTTTCTCTCCTGTTTCTTTGGAGTATAGCAGTGAAGTGAGTAAGGTTTTCTAATGTTCACTAAAAACTAGATACCCTACATGTGCCTTCGTTTGTTTCCGATTTCTTGTGTATTTGTCTCTCACCACTTCCTAAGGGCTCAACTGTATCTGTTTTATCTTTACGTGCTTGGAAGGGCTTTAAACATGGCAGCCAATTAATGTCTGTTGAATAGATTTCCCAGTAGCCCCAGAAGGTCTCCCATATATCAAATCTTTGTCCCATCTCTGTATAGCTCCTTGTTTTAATATTAAGTTTTATTTTTTAATTGCCATGTTAATTTTTTATATCCTATCCAAATTACTAGGAACATAAACAGTATACTTTTATGCTTAATTTTATCTTGATATTCTCATTTATTTCCATAATAAATGCGAGTGGCTGAGGTGGGAGAAGGATTACAGTACTGGAATAGAAATACCTTAGCCATTTCCTGATTTGAGAAATTTGAGCTTCACAGAGATTAAGAAACTTGTCCATGGCCACACAGCTAGTGAAAGACAAAGCTGAGACTAGATTCTAGCTCTTCTGACTCCCAGACCAATGGTCTCTCTGCTGGTTTGCTGACGTAGCAAATGATATTCCTCTGAAGCACATAGTAAATTGCTTTGAAGCCGTTTTTTTACTGTTGAAGTTGATTGTTAGTCATATTATAAATCTGTAGCTATTTTAATCATTTGCTATGAGAATTTTGATTTTATTTTAGTTGAAACCTGCATATAATTTGAGACATCATTTTATGACTCAATATAAAAGATTTTAAAACATAAAACACTAAAAGGAAAACACATGCATATGCAACTTATTTTGATGCTACAATTACCACTGTAAGATAGAAGTAAAACCAGTAGGTGGAAGTTAACAGAGTGGTAGGTTTTGCAAGAGCTTCTAAAGGGAAGTACAATAGGCTACCTTGCGAGGGGTGAGCTCCCTGTCAACTGAAAAATCTTATAGAGGCTCGGGTGTGTGTGTGTGTGTGTGTGTGTGTCTGTGTCTGTGTCTGTCTGTCTGTGTCTGTGTCTGTGTGTAAAGATGTAAAGAAAACTTCTGTCTTTGTTGGGCACTTGAGCCAGCTGACCTCTCCTGATTGACCCAATTCTAATATGGCAGTTTTTCAAAATTTTATACTTGAATATTTGCTACAAGTAGAAGAATTTTAGTTTTCCTTAAAACCACTATACAAGCATTTATTATAGTTCTCTGCTTACATTCCTCGCTTAGAAACTAGTGAAGGGCTGGTTGGTAAAGCTTACTGGTAGAAGAAAATGCTGGTGTAAGATGTAGATGAGTGGGAGGAATTATTGACCATAAAAATGCTTGTGGAATGATGGTCTGCTCCCTTTCTCTATTTATTTTACCCCCACAGATGTTGGCAGATTGCTGTATTCAATGGGTGTAACTCCAAATGCAGTTTCAGTTGCCTAAAAAACAATTGAATCATAGTATTTTTTATTTTTTATTTTATTGGGGACCAGCCATGGTCATTGGTTACACACTGCTTTCATGCTACAATGGCATAGTTGACTTTTTTAGGGAGGGCGCAGCTCACAGTGGCCCATGTGGGGATTAAACCGGCAATCTTGGTGTCATCAGCACCATGCTCTAACCAACTGAGTTAACCAGTCACCCCCATTGTATATTTTTAAATGATGTTGATTGCATGTTTAAACGATATTTTAGAAATATTGGGTTAAATAAAATATATTATTAAAGTTTTAAAAAATGTTGTAGGGATATCATCGTGCTTCATTTCATCCCTCTTAAGCCTTGATTTGACTATTTTAAGAAAAGTATTGAATTGTTTCATAGCTTTGCATTTTAAATTTTTTTTAACTTTTAATTTTGAAATAACTTCAGACTTACAAAAAAAATTGTAAAAAAAATACATAGAATTTCTGTTTACCCTTTACTCAGATTCTCCAGATGTTAACTTCTTACATTAACACAACGCAATGATCAAGATCAGAAAATTACATTCATGTAATACTATTATCCAATTTTATCCAGTCTTCACCAGTTGTCCCTGTAATGCCCTCTTCTGGTTCAGGATCAAATCAAGGATGAAATATTGCATTTATTGTCCTGTCTCTTAAATTTCCTTTAGTGTGAAACAATCTTTAGTCTTTGTTGTTCATGACCATGACGCTTGCAAAGAGTGTTACCAGTTATTTTGTAAACCATTCCTTAATTTGGGTTTGTCTGATATTTCCTCATGCTTAAATTCAAGTTATGTCATTTGGGCAGGGATACCACAGAAATGATGTTGCATCCTCAGTGCATCATATCAGGAGGCACTTATTGTTGACTTATTCTATTACTGGTGATAATTAATTTCAATCATTTGTTTAAGATGGTGTAACATTATAAACTAGGGAAGGTTTTCATTTATAACATTATAAACTATGCAAGTGGCTTGGTTCTCATCATGCTTTACACACTAATTTTTAACATCTATTGATAATTCTTGCCTGAAACAATTATTACTGTGACATTTGTCCTATGACGATTTAAAAAAATATCCTCATAGATTTTTATTTTAAATATATAGCCCCTATTTTGCTTTCTGGTTTATTTCCTTATAAAATCTATGAAGAATATTGTACCTCCTGGAATCTCTAATCACCACTTTCATTTTGTGCTTTTCTTAATATAAAATGTTCTATTTCATGTCTAATAATCAGGGCCCATAGAGGAAATGAAGAGATATTACCAAAATTATATTTCTTGTTCAAAACCTTGTTGGGCAACTCATGTTCTACTTTACTAAAGGCATTATTATACTTTTGTCTTTAAATTAAACACTGTTGCTCATCTACTATTCAGGTCTCATCTCTTTTTTCACCTCTTATTCTACCAAGAAGGAATTCCAACTGGAATTTGAAAGTCCTCAATGTTCTCCGAACTGTGAGATTCAAGGACTTACGTAGCCTCTGCTTATTCTTGGTCCTTTGCATCATCTTCCATGCCTCTCCCTCCCTCTAAACCTTATATACCAAGGAATTCCAAGGAATACCAAGTGGGATTCAAGGCATAGGAAGGTTGTGACTAATTTCACAAGTCTGATTATCTTGTCTCCTGAAAGTTTGGTGTCTGGCTATCTTTTGGCAACAGGAGGATAGGTCTTTCCCATCTGGTCCAGAGTGAGCCCTGATAGTAAAATGCTCATATCCTTGTCTTAAAACTCAAACACTGGCCTCTTTGCCTAAGAATGTTGACTGGGGGAAGTCTTGAGTTGTCATCTTGTCAGCAGACATCCTGACTTGGATTTTTTCTTTTTAATTTGTATTTCTTTTGTTAAAGACATTGAACATTTTTTCATTTTATTTCTTTTTTTCCCAGTTTTTTGAGATAAAATTGACATATAACATTTAGTTTTAGGTGTATAACATGATGACTTGGTGTATGTATTTAGTGTGAAATGATTACCACAATAACTGACTTGGATTTTATGCCTCTTGTTTTCAGCCTGCTGCGATGACTCAGGGAACTCAAGGAACAATCCGACCAGCTGCCAACTTTGATGCTATGAGAGATGCAGAAATTCTTCGTAAAGCAATGAAGGGTTTTGGTAAGGAAAACAGAATTTTGTCTTATTTATAATAAGTTCAAGTTATTGAATCTAAAGTAAAAATAAACTTTAGACCATAAACCAAGTTTATATGTCAGCCTGTGTGCACATACCTCAATTGACTCTGGCACCAGGCACTTTGTAAGCATCTAAGAATTGTCTTCAAGGAGCACCCAGCACAGACTTATCCTTACTTAAACATGTATGGTTCTTTCAGGGACAGACGAACAGGCAATTGTGGATGTTGTGGCCAACCGTTCCAACGATCAAAGGCAAAAAATTAAAACAGCCTTTAAGACCATGTATGGCAAGGNAGATTGATCTTGTCCAAATAAAACAGATCTTCACTCAGATGTACCAGAAGACCCTGGGCACAATGATTGCAAGTGACACGAGTGGAGATTACCGAAGGCTTCTTCTGGCCATCGTGGGCCAGTAGGAGAGATTTTTTAAATGAACAAAGCTGTTCAAAGCTTACCCTTCAAAGCAGTGACTGACCTGCATGCAGCAATATCAACCATCACTAACCAAAAGAGCTTATTCTTAGGGACTGTGTCAGGGTATTGTGCTTGGTTTGCACATGTGGTTATTGCCTTAATTCCAATGTTATTTTTCCTCTGTATTCAATCAATGTCAAGCCATATCATAACGATGTAGTAATAATGCAATGTTTGTAAAGCATAATTTTCTCACTGCTCTTATCCTAATCGGGATACCAAATTGAATAAAAATCACAACAATCTCAAATTCTGTGTAATAATATTGAATTTTAAAAAAAGGTTGCTGAAAACTCTGCCTTTCACAGTCCTACTAGGTCCATTGGATGATTATAGTTGGTGGTATATCAAAACTGTATTACTTAAAAAAAAGAATTCAGCTCTTTTAACCTAGAAGAGTAATTGACATCTTATGTTACATAAATTGGTATTCTGTATTCATAAACACTAATCTTTCCATATAAAAAATAGATTAGTAGTATTGCCTATAGCAACTTTTCAAAAAGGGATTTGATGTTTATATGCATAAAATACATAGCGTACTTTTATGTTTACTAACACCCCTTAAAGATCTTTATTTCTTATCTTTAAAATTAGTTGCAATTTATTCATGATTCCAGAAAGTGAAGTTTGACACATAAGAGGTGCTCAGTTAATGAGCAAATGACGCTTAAAGTATTTCCCTGGCAGAATGAATGCCAGCTCTTTGGAGAAGTAGTTCAGGAGCTCAGTGGTACAGCAGGGTGATTTAAAAGCACAGGTTTATTGAATAACTATGGTGTACACCTAACACTAATATAATATTGTATGTTAGCTGTATTTTAATAAAAGTCTTTTAAAAAAATACAGGTTTGTCCCCAATACTGAGCAATCATTTATTGATTATGTTGAACATTAGAATAGGTAGTCAGGAAAAATACAAAGGAAGGAAATTTATAATCTAGTGGGGGTTCTAAACAAAGAAATTGTAAATGTTAGATTATAAATTCTGCTGAGGATAAGAACCTTATTAGTTCTTTGTGCTAAGCTCTCTGGCACAAAGCAGATATTTAATATAGATTTGGTGAATGATTGTACTAAAAATTGAGGGAAAGAATAGTAAATATCAAGTATAATTTAATGCACATTTGTGTAAGTACCAAGGAGCATACAGGTGGTATAAGACACAACTTTACTCTTAGAGAGACTTCTTACGATTGTAATATGAGGCAAAAAGCAAGATACACGAGTAGAAGAATAATGGACTAAGATAGATGTAATTACTTTTAAAAGTTTCATTGAAAAAGTTCAGTTTTCATCTAGTTTTTGAAAAAGTAACAGTGATGGGATTTGGTAAAGATGAGAAAGGAGGGTAGGGTATTTAAAAAAAGGTACGAGCAATATATTTTTAACCTTTAAAAAACTTGAGATATAATTCATATACCATTCACCCTTTTAAGGTGTACAATTCAGTGGTTTTTAGAATAATTACAAGTTTGTACAACTATCAGCACAATAAATGTTTGAACATTTCATCACCCAAAAAGAAACCTTATACCCATTAGCAGTCACTACTCATGCCCCGTCCTCCTGCCCAGCCCCTGGCAGTCACTAATCTACTTCCTGTTTCTATGGATTTGACTATTTGGGACTTTTCATTAGAATGAAATGTAATATGTGGCCCTTTGTGGCTGGCTTCTTTCAATTAGCATACTGTTTTTAAGGTTCATCTGTGTTGTAGCATGAATCAATGCTTCATTCTTGTTTTATAGCTGAATAAGCCATTGTATGGATGTACATTTCATTTGTCCATCAATTGATGGGCATTTGGGTTGTTTTCACCTTTTGGCTATTATGAATAATGTTGTTAAAAGCATTCATGTAAAAATTTTTGTGTGGACACATTTTCAATTCTCTTGGCTATGGCATTAGGAATTTCAGGATTATATAATATCTTGATGCTTAACTTTTTGAGGATCTGCCAAACTATTTTCCAAAGCAGTGGCACCATTTTACAATCCTACCAGCCAATGAATGAGGTTTCCAATTTCTCCCAACACTATCACTGTTGATAGTAATAAAACTATATTAATATAGTAATAATAAATATATTAATATAGTAATAATATATAAATAAATAAATATATTATTAATAAAACTAAATCTGTTTGATTATAGCCTTCCTAGTGGATGTGAAAGTAGCTTCTCACTGTGGTTTTGATTTGCATTTCCCTAATCACTAATGAGCATATTTTCTTGTGCTGATTGACAATTGGCATATCTTTTTTTTTTTTTGGAAAAATGTCTATTCAAATACTTTGCCCATTTTTAAATTGGGTTGTCTTTATTGTTGCATTGTGAGGGTTATTTATATATTCTGGATAGTGGACCCTTATCAGATATGATTTTGTTGTGTATTCTTTTATGATATGATCAGTCATGTAGACCCTGAGAAGATTCATTTGATGTGAACCCTGAAAAGAAATTTATTTGCTGAGATAGACTCCCCATGGTCAACTGAGGGCCTACATTTTATGAATACTGAGTCTACAGCCATTTGCTGCAGGGACTCCTCTCGTACTCTGTACACTGGGAAGAACTCAGATTGAATTCTCAGTTTAGCTTCCCGTTCTATGCCCTGCCTGTTTACACAATCTGAGTCAATAACTTAGGAAAACCGTAGTTCCATTTTTTTTTCCTACCAATGGACTGAGACCTGCCCCATTCAATCAAAACTGCACAATTTGGATACCTCATTTACATAAAACAGACCTAATTGAAAACCTGGGTGGGACATTTCCCTATAAAAGGCGGCCTTCCCTTTGTCTTGGTGAAACACAATTTAGGTTGCTACTTGAATCTGTGTCTCCAGGCTGCACATCCTTTTGCTCAAATAAATGCTTTTTTATTCTTTACTACAGTCTAAAATTAATTTCGGTTTACAGTGAGATGTGGCTACAAAAGGAGACATAGTAGAGGCTCAGGAAAAAATTCATTCTCAAATGTCCTAGAGACAGGAGGCAACACACACACAGGACAACATGGAAAAGACACCAGGGTGGTCCAGAGGCAGAAGACAGGAGGCTGGGGGCAGTACTTAAGCCATGACCTTTATTGGGGTTTCTGAGGGAAAAGCAAGGAAGGGCAGAGTAAGCAGTTTGGTTTGGCTACTTTGAATAATTTGGAGTGGCCTTTAATTCCTGGTACCTGTCTGTAGGGTCTTTAAGGCAGAAAAATATTGCTTAGTGGTGTGCAGGGCCAATTACAGGAGGTATGGCTCTGGGTTGTCAGTTCATATATCAAAAGAATGCTCCTGGCTGGGCCTTTTGCTATCTCTAATAATTGGCTACTCGGGCAGTCTCTCCCAGCCAGAAAGGTTTCTTAAGATGTAAAAACAACATACAATACATTACCATATTTCCCCATGTATAAGACGCTCCCATGTATAAGATGCACCTTAATTTTGGGGCCCGAAATTTGAAAAAAATATATATTACATATAGTTATTGAACTCATTTTATCATAAAATTCATACAACTCCTCATCACTGTCAAAACTCCCAACCATTAGCTTGTCCTCATCTGTGTCTGATGACGAATCACTGTCTTCATATATNGACAGACGAACAGGCAATTGTGGATGTTGTGGCCAACCGTTCCAACGATCAAAGGCAAAAAATTAAAACAGCCTTTAAGACCATGTATGGCAAGGTATCTTTTTTTTTCTTTTTCTTGAGTGAGCATGAACGGTGGTGACCCGTAGACCCTGCATTTGTGTCAGGTTGGATACTGTCTTATTAGTACTGGTGGAACAAAGTAGACACAGCTACATTCCAGAGACCCCAGGAGTGGTGTATTCATTAATTTTTTCTCTTAAAAGCTTTTCTAATTCTAGAGTAGTGCTTGATCTCATGGTCATACCTTAGACTATGTCTGGTGTGTGATAGATGCTCAGTAGAAAGATTGTGACCACAATCATGATCAACAGCTTGGTTCTTAGTCTCCTAATACTGGGATTCAAGGAGTTCTTAATTCATTCCCTGCTTATTCTTGGCCCTTGGCATCATCTCTCACTCCTCTCCCTTCCGCTAAATATAGCCTATATTTACGATTATACGGAACTTCTTGCCATTCCCTGAACGTACCACGATTGTTTATACTTCTGTGCTTGGTATATGTTATTCTTTTGGTCTGGAAAACCTTTTCTTTCTTTTCTGCATGGCAAACAACTTCTCCAGGACTTGGTTTAAATTAGCTATGCTGTGAAGTTTCTCTCATTGCTCTGGGCAGAATTTACCTGCTGCTTCCACTGTGGTCCTGTAGCACTTTGTAAAACCTCTGCTATAACTATCTCACTGTCCACCCTCCAAAACTGTGAGCGCCCCTCAGGCAAACCATGTCATATTCATCTTTGTATTTGTAGCACTCAGTACAGAACAATAACAAATATGCACTTAGTAAATGTTTGTTTAATGGATGATCTGTGACTAACTAAACCCAGCAAGATTCTATGGCAAAAAAGTGCCATTGCTTCTCAGCTAAAAAGGGAATACTGGGTAGCATTCATTCTCAGAATGGAAATGAGGGCCATCGCTTGGTCCCACCTTACCTATTCTACTCTGCCCAGCCCAGATCCACATCTTTAGCCTTTTTTTTTTTTTTAAGATTTTATTGGGGAATTGGGGGAGGGGACCAGCCAAGCTGTTCTTCAGTCTTTGTTGTGGAGGGTGCCAGTCGCCATCTGGCTTCCCGTCGGCAGCTCGTGGCCTCTGAGCTCAAGGTGCTGGGTTCAATCTTAGTTGCGGGTGGGCATAGCCACCATCCCATGCGGGAGTCGAACCAGCAGCCTTGTTGTTAAGAGCGCATGCTCTATCCACTGAGCCATCGGGGCGGCAGCTCAGCTCAAGGTGCTGATTTCAGTCTTAGTTGTGGGGGGAATAGCCCACCATCGAACAGGCAATCTTGTTGTTACACCAGCTGAGCCATCCTGCCACCAGTTGGCAGCTCAGCAATAGCTTGGCTTGGGCGCAGCATCACTGACCCATGTGGGAATCGAACCGGCGGCCCTGGTGCTGAGAGCTTGCACTCTTAAGCCAACTCTTAATCAACTGAGCCACTCAGCTAGCTCTCCACATCTTTAGTCTTAAAGCTGATTAAATGACACAAATTCTGTATTTCCTTAAGGGCTTAATGTCAGACTCACTTCTCTTACAAAAGTATATTCCATATTATGAATCTCTTTGGTTCATAGACAGTCTGTGCTATGCTGCCCTGAATTTTCTCATGTATCACTTTAGCATTAAAATTAAACACACAACCTATTTTCCTTATCCTCAGCCACCTTTTCTCTTAAATTCCTATTAATTAATAAAAATACTGTTCTTCTAGGCTGCCATGGGTTCTCTGATTCCTATTCTATATCAGTTGGTCAGTCAGTGAATATTTATTCAATGCCTACTTTATGCCAGGCACTGCTTTGTTCTAGCAACTGGTTATTGACTATGTCTTGTTGATCTCATCTGTTAAGGCTCTTTAAAAATGTGTCTTCTGTCTCCTTTCCACTTCCATTGCCACCACGGAAATCCAAGCCTTTATTACTTCTTACCTAAATATTCCAGTATCCAAATGTTCTCATCCATGGCCTCTTTGTCATCACAGTCCATTCTGCCTGCCATTGCTGCATTAATGCCATTTTCTTGTGTAAAAGTTGCCAGTGGCTCCTCCCAGCATGCAGAATCAAATTCACATTCTTCAGCTTGGTATTCAAGTTAATAATCCAAGCATATACTGTTATTTTGCTGTGTATAATGTGCTCCCGTGTATAATGCGCACCCAAACTTTTGGCCCAAACTTTCAGGGAAAAGTTTCAGGGAAACTTTCAGGGAAATGGAATTAGTACTACCCATGTATAATGCACATTCTTATTTTCCCTCACAAATTTGGGCAGGAAAGCATGCATTATACATGGCAAAATACGGCAATTACAACTTTTGTTTTACTTACCTGTGAAAACATTCCCTTCTAACAAGATTGGTTGTCTTATTATTGTCCCATTGAACAAGCTTTGCTCATTTTTGCCTCTGTACTAGTGATTCTCAACCTTAACTGATCAGTATAATCTCCTTTAGAACTTGAAAAGGCACACAGAATCTCTGAGTGTTCCTCCCCAACATTATTTATTTATTTGTTTATTGTTCAGAAAAATTCCACAGATGATTTTTATGCATAGCAAAGCCTGGGAACCACTTTTCTGTTCCTAGTTTGTATTATTCCTTTCTGCCTGAAATATCTTCCTTCTTTCTCTTTGCCTGCTAATTTTTATATTCTCTTTAAGAACTGGACTAAAAACTTTCTCTGCTTGCTGTAGCCCCCTTTAACTTGTTCTGTTTCAACTTTTTCTGTTATTTACTTCTGTGCTACTTACTCCTCTGGTGCTGGAGTACAGGCTGCCTTATGTTATCTCTTTCTAGATGTCTATTTTATCTTTCCAAATAAGAACACAATGATGAGTTCTACTTCCTCATAGACAAGTACAGTTTCTTATACTAATAAGTATCTGTTTATCATTTTGTTCACTGGAATTATTCTTTGTTTCATGTATCTCTTGTCTTTGTACTTGATATAGTGGTGGAACTACAGTAAGAGTTTATTATTGTGTTTATGGATAGAATGAATAAAATATATCTGCTTGAGTGTAACTAGCTTTAAATGTACCTATTTGTTAGCATATAATATTCAGATTTGAAATTTAGGTTTTCATAAAGCAATTCAATTCCTTTGTTCCGTATTTTCCTTTAAAAATTTAAGCAATAAAATTTGGAGAGCACATGTATTTAGTTTGTACTTGTAATTAAACAGGATTTAATCAAGGATCTCAAATCAGAGTTAAGTGGCAACATGGAAGAACTGATCCTTGCCCTGTTCATGCCAACTACGTATTATGATGCCTGGAGTTTACGGAATGC